TATAGCTAAATTTAGCAGAGTTTGAATTAATTGATTTATTTTTGGTTACCAAAGTATCCTCTAAAATAACAGTGACTTGTAATTTAGTTTTAATTTCTTGTGGCACATATGTACTGTTATTCCCTCCAGTAAAGAGCATCAGCAAAACCAGAGTTTATGCCCACTGACAGGTGTTCATTTACTCTGGCTGCTTGGAGAGGTCACATGATAATTACAGCGAATTATGGTCATGGAAAAAGGCCTTTCCCGTGTTTTGATGATGGACTCAGTACTGCTCCAGAGCATACAAACCAAACACCTAAAATACAATATTGTTCAACTTTCTGGCCTATGATGGGGATAAATACACAACTCTATTGCTTTTTTCTTCGGATGTAGCTGTGTCATTAAAACCAATCAATGGCAGGCTGACATGTCTTAATGCTCCACCATGCTCTGCATCCCATCCATTCCCTACATTCTTGCATTATCTGCACCTGAGCCCTCAGTCTGTGGCATAGAAAAGATTCTAAATTCAATTGTGCAAAAAAAAAAAAAAAAAAAAAATTAGGCCTACAAGAAGGGTGTCCTCTTCGGGGGAGCCATGTTTTCACATGTTTTCACCAGCATATCAATTCTGGGACAGCATCTGGGGGATGTAACGCCCTGAGAGAGATAAATCAGACAATAAAAGGTCTTGTTTTTTTTTTTACGGTAAATTTTGGCAGATTCGATCCCAATCTCGGTCTCTATTGACAATGAAAGTGCAGTCTCAATGACACTTACCTGTTTAAGTAAAGGATAAGAAGGAAACTGAGGAAGATGAAGAGTTATAGAACTATAGAAATAAAGGGGACTTGAACTTGAGCTGTTTGTTTATTGCGTTGGATTTACTCACTGGAAAAATGAAAGACAAATGTATTCATAAAACATAACAATCACAGATGATGTAATGTGTAGTAATGTGTAGTTTGTTTTGTGTAGTTTTCAGATTAAGCCAAACACAATAGAACAGATCAGGAAATGGCACAAATTCACTGGACAGCTAACACTCCCAGAAAATTAAATCCCTTTCACAAAGCACCACTGGATGTAATTCCAGACCCTGCTTGCAGCTCACCACAGAAAACCCAGCTCACCCTTTACATAACCAACTTAAGATAATTACAAGTGAACATACAAGAGGAGGCCGTAATCATAATCGGCTTCCTTTGACAAGTCTGAGGTTTTCTGAGAGTCTGGAAAGCCACAAAAGTGACATTCTGCTCAGAGAGCGGATGAATGGCTCTCTGTGTCTCTGTCAGAGGGCTGTCATCATAGAGGAGCCTATGGGGTCGACTTACAAAGGGCACGATGCACAACAACTCAGAAAAACACATTAATGCTCATTTATTTTGTTGCTTGAAACTCAATCAAAGACCACATTTGGAAAAGACAGAGACCGCTCAGTTCAGTGTCAGTGTTCAGTGTCCATGGCGTAATACAATTGGTATCTGTAGCGCATGGAAATTTTAAGAGGTGTTTTAGGCTCTTTCGCTGTGTCGATGACATTGTGGTATTTGCTGACTACCACTGTATGCAGTACACAGGTGGATCAACATTACTGTCTCTGCCATCACTCTCACCGCTCTCATAGCATAATTTTTTGGCTTCAGCAGGCAGCTGTTTTTGGGCAAAAAAAAAGCTCCAAAGAACAAGTGTACACTTCCTACCCAGCACCAAAACAGCAGACAGACAAGGTTAGTTTTTTATACATTGTTCCTTTGTGGGTTGATACAATTTCCCTCTGTTCACAAACCCATTGGATTAACTAAAAGCTAAAAACGATAGTATGAAATATTGCAATTCAGATGTATTATATGTTCATGTGAAATTGTTGCCCTTTACAAAAAACTATGGTGATTTGTGATTTATGATGGTTTATTGTTCATATGAGAATAATCAAAACACTTTTCATTTCACATTGGCAGTGTAATGGCAAGTTAAGTTTTTTTTTTTTTTTTTTAATTTTTTTAACCATGAGGGCTTTACTGTTCCAAACTTTGGCCCACTTTAAATTCACTTTATCTTCAGGCTTCCATGAACGCTCTGTGGTCTCGGATCGTTCTCCTTTATCAGCTCAAGTTTAATCTTGCTGGTTGATCAGCAAACATGAGCTGGAAGAATTCATCCCTGTGTTTTTCTGAGAATCCAAATGGTCTATGACGGGGCCTATTTTGCAAGCGTCCTGCAGGGTAATAATTCTCAGCCCTCTTGAGCATAGCTGCAGCGGTGGAGTCATACTTAACCTCTTCAACCCTCAAAGACCTTTCAGGGGAATCATTACGACAAAAACATGGTGTGCACCCAAACCTTATCTTAACCCACCCGACTTTAATCTTAAATTCTAGTCAGGATCCCAGAGTCTCTGCCAGGCTGAAATGCAGGAGAATGTTCATTAAGTGATGCATAGGACCATCCCGAATTCTCCATTTTATCTAATGTTTTAGCCAAATGTTTGAATGTTTTACTGTGTAGATTCAGTGAGGTACTGAAACAAGTGGATTAATACATTCTGTAAGTGTGGTACTGTGTGAGAAAAACAATTGAATGTAACTTTAAATCTGTTCAAGATGGTGAACCACAAGGTTCAAGTGGTTACTTGGATGGTGCTGCATCAATTAACCAGAATAATACAGAAGATCAACGAGACTTGCAGTTAGAATCTCAAGGTGAAATTTGACAGAAGGGGACAGGGACATAGTGAAGGAGGATGGGACGAACACTTGGAGAGGGTGGTGGAGGGCAGGTGTGTGTGTGTGTGTGTGTGTGTGTGTGGAGGGAGTTTGTGGCAGCACATAATTTGTGTGCTATTTTTAATCAGTACACAGAGAAAAAGAAAGCAGGCCTGTGTCTGTGTTACACTGTGAGCCCAGCGGAGAGCAAGAGGATTTACTGAGAGCGTATGAGCTCATTTCTACACGTTCTTCTGGCCTTTAAATCACACTGTCTGACTGAGCACCTCTCTGTTAATGACTTTACCACCAACTTTTGTTCCCAGCTCTTTACATCTCTGTTTACTATATTGTCAGACTCTGCATATTTGCTTCATAGAAGATATTCCATCCTGATGCTTGCTCATATTCCTCTAATGCAGCTGGTATCAGCTGACTTTGGGGCCCAATAGTTTTTCAGTAATCACCTTCGCTTCTTTTCAATATCACCTTTGAGTCAGTGAGCCGTGAGTCAGTAATTCTCCCCTTGTCTTGTGGTCTGAAATTGAGAGGACAACAGTTTAATAAAATGATACAACCGCAAACGGGAATGGGCCTTGAATCACCACGTTGCTGTCGTTCCCTGCCATAACTTACAGCAATAACAAGGTCTGGGCTGGGGAGCAAAGGGAAAGAGGAGGGAGGAGGGTGGGTGACTGGGGGTTTGTGTATGTGTGTGTGTGTGTGTGTGTGTGTGTGTGTGTGTGTGTGATTGGGGCGGCTGCAGAGATAGTGCACAAGGGCAGTGGGAGTAGCCAGAGAGAGTAGAGAGAGAGTGAGGGAGTAAATCTGCTCCGTGGCTTCCCCTGGCATCAGGTTTATATGTGTGTGGAGCGTGCAGTGTGTTTCCAGGGGTTTCCATGCTGTCACAAAGACCCCTGTGAGACCAGCTTATTTACCCTGCAGTAAAACCCGAGAGGGAGTATACCCTGCAGTAAAAGTGGAGAGGGGGCTCAGTGGAATTAGATTTAGGGCCGCCTCCGGCTCTCTGTTCTGTGTGTGCCGTCAGGGAAAACCCACTCTGCTGCTCTTGTTCCGTTCAAGTTGAGTTATGTTGTGATTAGAGTCAGAGGGTAAAACGTGTTGTAGAAGAGACAAACAAGTTTCAGAATAGTTTTTAATTAAAGAGAGAGGTATTACATTGTTCTCAGTTATTGGTTACATAGTGGCTGGTACAGTGACAAGATAATAATTTAGCATAAATAAGCAGTTGTGCAATTAAGGGTTATTACATTTCACAATGCTATTGCATAAGCACTTGCTTGACTGTACAAGGTGCATTTTCACAGATGAATGCAAAATGTGCTTTTGTTTGTTCTTTCAAGAATCATAATTTTTCCAAGATCTGAGGGAGAAAACATAGCAACAGCATCTCAAAGAGAACACAAACTTGCACGAAACAAACTTGAATGTTATACCTATCGCTGGAAACCAACCGACCAGCACTGACTGAAAAGATGTTGCATACACAGTACAGAGGCTGATGGCTCTGCATAGCCATCCACATGGCAAAGGTACAGTACTGCATATGTCTTACCAACATGCTCCAAACAGTTTGGAAGATGTCATCGAGTAAGAGGTTGACATTCTGACCTCCCCACCTCATGGAGAGTATTGCTTTGTTACATTCCACGTTTCGATCATGTTCAAGTCATTCAGCAGTCAAACTCCAGGCTCAGACTTCTGTATTTAAAGAGTCTACATGCAATACGAGAGCTGGTGTGAGTGTGAGTGTGATAGCAGCTAAAAGAACAAAGCTTACGAGCAGTTACATCCAAAGGTTGAGGTTCAAACCAGCAGCTATAAATCGTCTTTGATCTGTGACTTAGAGATGCAGCTCTGTTGCTTTGTACATCATATACATCTAGAGTGGCAAAATGGAAAGTTTGTAAACCTTGTAATATTTTTTGCATTTTTGGCTGAGTTTGTATTAAAATAGCTGTGGAATACAGATAAAGGATGTTGTCACATAACAAATTACACCCAAAAGCCCAGCAACTCATTATTTAAATGACATTTAAATCATTTTTGCACATTTTACAAAATAAACTGAATACTTAGTGTTCACGCCTCGTCCAAATTTTAGAAAAGAGTGAATTGAAAATTTATGAGTTTATCCAAAAATTTGTTACGTTGAACCATTCTTTATCTGTATTAGGATGTGCAAGTTGTGATTATGTGTAGTAAGACTTTCATTGTGATACTGTATAAAATGGGCCCACAAATAAAAAAAAAAAAAAAAAGATTGACAGGCGGTATTATTTCGAAGTTATAATTTAACTAACTAAAATGTGAGATGTAATCCTCTTCTGGTTTGGATCAACCAAACATCCACCTCAAACCACAAACAGACTGAAAGCTGCACATTCAAGCGAACCACCAACGGGTGCTCTCGAATCAGTTTCTTGCTCCACGTCCCCAACCGCTTGTGACAAGTGGCTTGGGGTCGATATGGAGCAAGCGGTATGAGTCATTCCAAGGCACTTGATTCTTTTCATTTCCTTAGATGATGAACTGAAAAATCAATAATGTTCTTTTGCTAATGCCCTTTTCTCCAGGGTAGAAATGCACTTAATGAAATGATAACACAATGCTTACTCAAATACTACTCATCAAGGTTTCAAACAGATACTAACTTTGGTATGATGACCTTACAGTTGTGCACTTTGATGACATTGGTGACATTACTGCCAGATAAAAGATGTTGGATATTACCAGATTTTAAATTCCATGCAATATGACTGTTAAAAATAAATGCAATATGCAAATTAAAGGGCATGGAGAAAAATAAATGGGATACATTCAAATAGTAACACAAAAATTAAAAAGCAAGATGCTACAGACAGAAGGCAAATCACTAAGCCTGAAAAGGCAAAACAACCTCAGTGATCTAAATTAAATTGACATAATCACAGCACCGAGAGCACATATAAGAACAAAAAAAAAAGAAAGAAGTTGAAATCATTATAACTAACCAAGAGGCCTCAACACAAAGTATCAAAACAGAGAAGTACAAGTTTCATATTACAGCTAACTAAACTAACTACAGCCAAAGAAAAGGTATCACCAGTCTGTGCTGTGATAGACTGCACATGGTTCTACACACACAGCCTGTGCTTTACAGGCAGGTGAAGTGGAAGTGGAAACATTCAAACTACTTTGTGGTCTCGAGGACTTTCCGGTTGCCATTGGTTGCCGTGAAGCTGCAAAATGCCCTGTAAAACCTCCAACCAGACTTTGTAGCAGAAGAGGTATTGTTCCTGAAACGAGAGAGACAGAGGCCACATCTAGCTTTAGGGAACTGTCTTTTTCTTTTTTTTTTCAAAAGCTTGAACTTTGAACTTTGACACTGACCTTGGTCTGTATCATCCCATGCCGCTGAAGTCTCATCTCTTTGACAATGTCGCTCACATTAATCTAAAGACAGGGACAGAAGGTTGTTAGGCGCAACCACAACATGTGTGTGAATGACAAATGACTAGTTTATTTCTAATGATATTAATAATAAATTGAGTAGACTCTTATTCACGATGAAGAGTCTACAGTCATTCTAGCAGCTCTGTGAGGCTGTATGAGACTTTGAGCTAAATACTAATTTTGGCATGCTAACAACGGCAATGCTGATATGTTGATGTTCAGTTGGTATAATGCTCACCATCTCAGTCTCGTGTGTTAGCATGCTAGCATTTGGAAATGATCTCATTCAAAGTCTCATTAGTTTTTCAGGTATTTTGTCATGAACTAAAGTATTGGACAAATAAAAAAATGACCTAATGATGGGACTAGACAAAAAGTCAGAGGATCAGTAAAGTCAGTAGAATTTATTCTTTGGGGACCATAAATGTGTGTAGAAAATGTCATGTTGATCCATATGATAATTGTTGAGAAATTTCAGTCTGAACCGAAATGGTGGACAGGCCAACGTTGCCATCCCTACAATCATTACATTCGCATGGCTAAAAATACAAATACTGGCTTATACTCACAGGTAAATCATTCTCAATGAGATTGAGGATAATGTCAGTGCAGATGAGAACTCCCGTGCGTCCGATGCCGGCGCTGCAGTGAACGGTGACTGGCCCCTTGTGGTGCACCGCCCTCAGGTAGCGGATGAAACGAACCAGCTGCTCAGAGCACTGTGGCACACCGTGGTCAGGCCAGTGTGTGAACTTCAGGTGACGGACAAAATGTGTCTCACCGGTCTGCAAAAACAACGAGTTGAATCATTTCATTTTAAGTGTAGAGTAAACCAATGTCACAGACAGGCAGTTACTCCTCTCTCACCTCTGTCTCCACCATGCGGACGACCTTAATGTGGAAGTACTCCAGGTACTGTTGGTTCTCCAGGTGAAGCTTGTACCTGCCGGTGTCCAAAGGCACGCCCAGCTTCACCGGCCAGTACTTGTGACATTTGATCCTTCCCCTTTCCACTTCCTGGGTCATCATGGCAATGACGTCAGATTTGTTTTCCCAGATCATCTGCCAAAAGGCCGACACTGTGGAAGGCAGAGGGCCCTGGCAGGAGATGTAGAAGAACTCTTCGTTGCCAACCTGCATGCGGATGTAGCTGGCGTTGATGTAGTCCTGGTTCTCTCCAATGGCAACACGTGTTTTGTCATCTGTAGGGGGAAAAGAAATAGGAGAAGACAACCTAAACTTCTTGTGTGTGTGTGTGTGTGTGTGTGTGTTTTGAGGGTGAGAGTTCTTCACTGCATGAATTCATATTTGAAAACTGCACCTCCAACAGCATCCTCCCACAAACAGAAAGACAGACATTCCTTACGTTTTCTCGATGTCTGATAAATCCATTGATTTCTTGATCATAAACAACAAACACTCCTCCCTTGTTGTTTTGCCTAAAGCACACCATCTAAAAGTACAGTAAATAAAAGCCAAGTAAACATCTCTGAGGTCTGGAGTTGGGCTCAACAAACCAGCGCTGTGAAGAAGTTTGTTGGTGATGAGAGGGGTGATAGACCAAAGGCAGTTAGGAATGTTTTTTTTTTTTTTGGGTAACACCCCCACCTCCTGCTTGTGAGGTCAAAAAAGCCACAGACTGGAAATCTGGCTTTGCTAAATAAAATAGTTAAAGGCTACAAGCAGCAGATCAGATTGGCACATACCATGCCCTTTTTTCTGGACCACTTGCACAAACAGAAGTTGTTAACAGGCTGCAGCCAACAAGGCATATGCTGAGGTGCAGTGATATTCCACTGGGGGTCACTATCCTTTTCTTCGCACTCATTCATCTCAACTCTTGACTCCTCTCACCCCAACAGACTCTGGGGGCTGGAGACGGAAATGCCTCTGTTTGTATGCATATGTGTGTGTTCTCCTGCTTGGTTTACATCCCTAGTAACTTTTGGGATTTGTTTTCAAATTCCTTAATATCATCAGTGTTAGCCACAATTCAAGCATTACATCATATAATTGAACACATACACACGTCTTTTGTGGCATTTTTCCTACCATCTTCTGTATTTTACCTCCTGATATTCATAATGATAATAAAGCTTGTAACATAATTTGCTCCTGCTTCATTTATTAAAATGATAAATCTCAGATAATTAAAAGGTTGGTAACATCGACATCTACTTCGTCATCACATACTTGGCCGACTCCGAGCACAATTTAAGTGCGGCACCAGTGAAATACTGATACTAATATGGGAAATGATTTGCTGCACAGTAATGACTTAAGTGTTGTAAACAAATATCTCCAGTCCCTTCAGTAAAGGCCTTACAGTCAGCTAGAACCGAGCAGCTAAGAGAAGTGCTAACAAACAGACTCTCCTATAGACGTCAAGTTTGTGGCTGTGCAGCTTTTACAAGCTTTAGCCCAACAATAAAAAAACTCCAACAGCGGGACATGGAATGAAGCACAGGGGTTTGAACAAATGGAGAAAGTAAAAGTTCTCAACGGTCCTCTTCCTGACTTACAGGGCAGGATGTCTCTGTAGCGGTTCTTATCTCTGTTCTCGGGGGCTTTTCCCACCTGACAGTTGTCAGAGGGCTTCAGATGCTCCAGAGCCTGAAATCAACAATACAATTAATAGTATTATTATATAGTGTAATCACTTAAAATGGATGTGTCTCCATAAGAATAATCTACAACTTCCTTGTCTTAGTAGAGTATCTGCGTGTGTGTGTGTGTGTGTGTGTGTGTGTGTGTGTGTGTGTGTCTAGTTTTCTTTCAGTGTGTCACAGTGCTCTATGAATTATAATAACAATAACAACATAATGATGATTTTATATCATGATCAACGTTGGGAATGGTTAAACGGCACATTTACTGGTCAATGTGTAATTTTACGCTTAGTTAAGGCAATTTTACAGCCATGAATTACAACAACTGGTAAATGTTCACATTAATTATTCTATGCATAACACATACAGTACACACCATGAACTCTTTGACCAGTTCCTGCTGGTCCAGTTGATGCTGCAGAATCTGAATGAGAGCCTTGACCCTGGAGCCTGAATACTGGCTGCTCTTAGCCGGGCAAATGAGAGCTAAACTGGCCAGTTCCTCCTCTGATACTATGGGTGGGCCTGAGGAAACAAAAGCGGAAAAGAGGAGGATATGGTTTGCTTATACGGCTCAGCATAGATAAAAAATGTCACTCATTAGCACAAGAGTAGAGGAATAGAAACCTGTTTGGGGTGAGGTCTTTTCCTGATTGGTGGTGTCAAATACATCATCATCCTCTTCTTCACTGCTCCAGCCGTCTGACTGGGTTTTCCGGATGTCTTTGCAGGACTGGTCCAAAAGTTTGGTCACAATTTGTTTCCTGGGGGAGTCAGGGGGCAGGGGTGAGACCAGACCCTATTTTACTCTTCGGTAGGAGGGGATGAAATCATGCAAGGCTGAGCTTCCTTTCCCTGCGACTTTTCCACCTAAAATACAGTATAGACAAGAGGCTAAAATGTCTTTTTTACTTCTGCCATACCTTTTGATTTGAGGCTACAGAGAATGGCACTATTACACTTCCTAACTCTCACACTGTTTTTTTTTTTGTCTCATTGGGGTTCACAGTCCTTAAGCAACAGCATTTATCTGGAGGTTGCGTTTCATTTATTGCTCTCTGCTGCCTCCCTGTGGTTAAGAGTGGAACTTCAGAAAACCTAAACAAAAGGAGAAGCAGGAGGACGGGTGGGGGGGCGTGGAGAAGACAATAGGTAGGATACAAGAGGAGAGTAGTTTGGGAAGTTACTACCTGTCAGAAGCTCCATGCAACATGTCAGTGACATTGAGGGATGGGCAGCAAGCTTGATGAGAAGGGGTGCTGTTACAGCTCTCCTGTTCCACAGACAAGCAGCCAGAGGAGGCAACAGACAGGAGGAGCAAGATGTTAGTAGTAGAGGTTAGTAAAGAGGAAAGGAGGGGTATGACTGCATTTAAACAAAAGAATAATTAATCATAATTATAACACTGTTCATGTACTCGTGTGTGTATGGTTGTGGTTGTGCAGGTTACCTGTTTAATTGCAGTCTCATCTGTTACCACAGTCAATCGGTGTGGAGGAGGTGGTGGTGAAGTTAGGACAACACCTATTTCTTGAGCCACAGGGTCTGATGTCACCTCTGAAACAGTAATTGTAGCACACATTACATGTTAAGACAGATATTTATCAGGTCTCTAAATGCTGTCCATTAAGATAACACAGCGATTGTATTTATATTATAGTGTATTTTAAATAGTTGAGACAGAGTGTTTTCAGTGCATAGTCTTACTAATTAGTATTAGCAGTATTTAAAGAGTATCTAGGGTTCACAGCTGCTGCTCTGTATCCAACATAGACTTTCTACAAAAACAGGAGATCGTACCATGGGGGTGCTCCACTGGCCTATTCAGCATGATGTCAGGTGAGGAACAGGTATCAGGAGCCGGCTGCTCAGCTAAAATAGCTTCAGTCTGAGCGGACATGTTGGGCGGTGTGGGTGATTCAGAGTAGGTCATGGGCAGGATGTCTCTGCAGATGGTGAGCTGGACAGTGCCCTCAGCTTTACGCAGGATGTCCACCACCTTGCTGTGGCTCAGGCCGGACACGATCACACCGTTCACCTGGAATACACAAAGTGAAGATCAGGGTTTTCCAGGGGTAATAAAATAGTCAAGAGGTATGAGGGGTTGTTACCTCTAATAAAATATCTCCCACTCTCAGCCGACCGTCCTGCTCAGCTACTCCACCAGAGCAGATTTCCCTCACTCTGAGCATGCTGCCATTGGTTCCTCCAACCAAAGCGAAGCCAAGGCCTCCTCCTTCTGGTTTTTTGAACTCCACTTGCATGATGCAACTCTGAGGGGATGAGAAACCAGAGGTGAAAAGAAAGGAGAAAGGAAACAAGAATTTGGAGGAATTGGAGATTCCAGCGAACCAATGTTCTTCAGAAAAATGCTTTCATGTCATCAAAAAACAAATCAGGTGTAAAAGAAAGCCTGACAGACACACACACACACACACATGCAGACAGTGACCCCCCCCCCAGGAGAGAATGCATCCGCAGATTGACACACAGTAGACTCATATTACAGTGTGTGTTTCAACAGACACTTCAAAGATGTGCAGTTAAAGAGAGAGAATAGCTGTCAAAAGGAAAGAATGAGCTTTTGGAGAAAGATAAATAATATGTTGAATATGTGAAACTTACGTCCTGTTCTTGGGTGAGAGAGAGACATCTAAATTTACCAGCAGTCCTACACACAGGTTCAGCTGTAAAAAAAAACAAACACAAGAGAATATCAATGAATTAGTGACCATTGCAGACAAAACGACTCCAGTTATTGCAGCCAAATTTAAATAAAGGGAAACCCCCGGAGTTCGGTCCGAAGCTAACAATAGAAATTCTTTTCGGTACCAGTCTCCATCCATGCATCAATTGTCCGACCGTCCGAAACAGACACACAGAAAAGAAAAACAACACACACCAACCTCCCACCTCTTCGGCCATTTTGAAAGAGAAGTGTTGATGGGTACGTCTCTTCTATGACAGGTGAACAAGGTTGGTCTTTTCAAAGTGACCCTCTCCACTGTCCCTTACCGCTGCACGCACTGTCACCAGGCAACTGAGCTACCTGCCCTATAGACCACTGACTGTATGGCACTGCCTGTGTGTGTTTGTTTGTGTGTGTGTGTGTGTGTGTGTGTGTGTGTGTGTGTGTGTTTGTGTGTATGACGCCTTTGGCCTTGCAGTCCAATACACCAGTGGAGGGCCAGAGGCTTGCTAATTATTAATCCTGCTGTGAGAGCCCAGGATCTGTCTGTCAGCATTCAGATCACACACACACAGCTGCAAAGAGAACCATCTTTCAGCACAGAGCTCCGGCTTCACGCACACAATAGGACAACAAGCAAAAGGCTGAGAGGAAAACCAGTTATGGTGCTGATAGAACATGCTGATGGAGAGAGTTCGGAGGAAATAGACGGAGGAATAAATGAGGGAGAGAAAGAAAAACCTCACCCTCTTCGATAGGAGAGTCTTTCTCTGGAGAGACAGACTCTTCAAAACGAGCAAAGGACTTCTTATCCTTTTTCCAGTCAAACAGACCTGCAAAGGAAAAACTTATTTTGAGATGCACTACCATAGATTGTACAAGGAAGCGCATCTTTTGCATTGCAGGGCCTACATCTAACATAATGTACAGACAAGTAATTACCTGTGTTCCCAGCACTCTAACACTTTCTGGTAATGATTGAACCTCAATTATCATTGTTTAGCTGAGCACAAACAAATCTGGTTTCTAGGCAATCCATCAGTGCATATAACAACCAAACTCTCCTGTTTATGTGTCCCTGTGTTAAGTCAAGCAGGTGAAACCATCCATAAACCCTTCAGAAGCCCTTACCGTTCCACTTGGCCTTGGGGGTCACTGGCTGGTCCTCTCTGTCACAGACACAAACAGTAGAGACATTCAAAGGAACAAACACACAAACACCTGCTCTACTTTCTATCTCTCTCGCCATTGGGGGCACATACCTGATGATTTTAAGTTTAACTTTACGAGGAGCGATCTCACAGGCTTTGACTGCATCCTCCAGGGTCATACCCAGGGTGCACCTGCCACAGATGTAGAGGATCTTGTCATTGGGTTGGACACTCCCCTCCTCGCTGGCTGGGGAACCTGGCACCACCTCCAGACAGTAGATGCCCTGCCATTTGCTGCCAATGCCTCCTGTCAGCTTTATACCTGGGGAGAGCACGCACATCGATACAACTCAGTACAAAGGAGTGAGGGAACAGCCTGATGCACCGTGTCTTCAAAATGTGAGAAAAACATGCGCAGCGTCCCACCCAGCTGTCCTGAAGGTGTCTTGTACAGAACGATATCAGGCAGGCTGTCGCAGGGCGGTGGGGCCACCAGGTTGGTAACTGCCCTGCCCAGGGTCATGCTCAGTCTTCTCGGAGATGACCTGAGAATCGTCATGGCAACATCATCTGCCACACTGGTAACATCATGCCCATTTACCTGGAAACAAATGACAGAAAGAAAAAGGAAAAAAGGAATTGTTCACAGTCAACCAGTGAAGCTCATGCTGTATATACAGCTCAAAACTAAACAATGTTTTTGGGCGGCTGTGGCTGTGGTAGAGCGGGTCGTCCACTATTTGGAAGGTCGGCGGTTCGATTCCCGGATCTTTCTGTTCGCATGTCAAAGCGTCCCTTGGGAAAAAGACTGATCCCCATATTGCTCTCGCTTTAACATTGGTGTGTGAATGTGCGCATGTGGCAGAAAAAAACACCGCATGTGTAGAATAAAAAAGTGCTGAATGGATAAATGTGTGAATGAGTGACTGTGGCATGTAGTATAAAGCGCTCTGAGTGGCCCATGAGACAAAGAAAAAAAAGTGCTATATAACTACAGTCCATTTACGTTTTCAAATGTGCAGAAAAGAAAAGTGTGTGCATGTGTGCGTTTACACCTACAGTGACGAGTCTGTCTCCCGCCCTGAGACGTCCGTCTGACTTGGCTGGGTTGTCCAGTATTTCCTGTATGTAGTAACAGTTGTCTATCTTGCTTCGAGTGATGGTGAACCCAAAGCTCCCGCTCCTGGACTTGGTCAGAACCACTGTCAGTTCAAACTCTTTTACCAATCCCTGACAGGCAAGAAACAAGAACAATTCATCTCATTAACAGATACAAAAATTCTCCAAGTTACTATTACATCACTTGATGTTTAATCAAAACCATTTCTGTTAATTTTAGTGACCCCTGTGAACAAAAAGACATCATATCTTGTCAGTGGTCACTCATCTGTAACATTTGGTGTGTATTTGCACAGAAAAGGAGAAAGTACAGGGAAAATGAAAGTATAAAATGGTCAAATATATTTTACTTTGCAGATCTAATTAGAAAAAAATGAAGTCATTATACAGAGAAAAACAATAATACTCACCAGACATGGGGACATCCAAATTAAAAATGAATGTCCATTAAATATTTGTGTAAATTAAAACGGCTTTAAACAAATTTTTGACCTGACATCTATTTATCTGTATTATTATTTGTTTCAACTAAGACCAGAACTGGAATCTTATTCATAACATTCATCAAAGTTAATGCCGGGTTAACCTGCAAACAGACTAACATAGGTAAAAACATTTTTCTTTAGCAACGTTGAAAAAGTGAGCTGAGAACAGGAACTTGCCTTTCTTCGACTCTCTTCCTCCTCATCGTCTTCCTCGTCATCATCATCATCATCCTTGTATTCCCTTTCTTTCTTCTCTGGCTCTTCCCTCGGCTGTGTGTGGCTCTGGACAGGAGGGGTTAGCACTGTGGGTGTCAGCGTCGGGGCAGGCGGACTGACACAGGGAGGCACAGAGGAGATGATCTGGGCTGTAATGGGGGTCAGTGGTAGAGCAGGGGGCTGGGGTGGAGGCACCACGGGCCGGCTGTTCTTGGAAAAGGCTTTGTAGTGACTTGGGAGAAGCCCCTGCTGGATAGGGTGATGCTTGGCTTTGGGTGGCTGTGTTGTCAGTGGCTGAGACGGGTGGGCCAAGGAGCAAGTGGTCGGGGTGTCAGACGAGATGCCGAGGGGTGCGATGGTGGTCGTGGGGACGTGAGGGCCGAGGTTCGGATTCTGAGAACTAAAACTAGAAGAGCTGATGGAGGTTTGGGAGCCGCGGGATGTGATTGGGGTGTGAGTGGCCAGACTGGAGGGAAAGCTGTGAGAAGGCTCCAGAGTGGAGCTGATGGTCAGGTATTCTTCATCTGCCATGATAGTCAGTCCATTTCCCATGAGGCAATAGGTCACACTTCCATCTGCCTCCTCCCTGATACCACTGCAGATAAACAAACACCACATATTATATATAGTGTGCTTCAAATGATGCTTTCTATCCTAAATATTAAACGATTTCTCAATGACAGGGCAGCAGCAGGAGCTCTGATTGACCCCACACACAGCGCACACACTAATACATGACAGCTGGCCAATCAGAGCTCAGACTTCATTAAATTTTTAGGTGGCACACTGTATAAATATTAAATCAGGAGACAAATACATTGTAATAGAATTTGATAGACAGGTATATAAGAAAGATATACGAGTAAATAAAATGACAAAAAGTAAAAATAAAAAAGCATCACTTCTGCAATTCCATGAAATTCAATTAACAATCATTTGAAGACAGAATAAGGAAATATATTTATCACCTCAAATCCAATATAATATATATAATATATTAATAATAATCATACATTTTTCTAAATACGCCCTTAAAATACAAATCTTCATCATCAATTTACAAATGTATTTTTAAATTTATAAATGTGTCATTTGATTACAGGTAAACACTTCAAATGTCTTAAAATACTTTGATGGCATACTACAGATTCCTAAATATAACCACATGGGAGCTGTAATGTGATGATATATAATAGTTTTTTTATGTGTCGGCATCTAATACATTACCTGGCATACACTGAGTTTGATGCAGTCTTAGGACAGATGTCCATAAGCATCACAGTTGAACTGGATGTCCTTGCAGCCTCCTCTTCCCCGTCCTTTTTCTTCTCCTTTGCTTCTCCTTCCCGTTGTCCCTCTAGATTCCTGGCGGCTGATCGTGACTTTGGTGGAGCTGGTGGAGAGCCAGAGATAGGTGAGGAAGGCGAGGCAGGTGATGCTGGCGAGGCGGGTGATGCTGGTGAGACTGGCGATGGAGGCGACGGAGGTGACGTGGGTGAGGGCGGTGAGCGAGGAGCAGACGGAGGAGTCTGGTGGGCCTGCACTTCACCGTCCAGACTCTCCTGGCTCTCCAGGAGTCCTGAATCTGCAGGAGGTTCTGGGTTTTTCTCCGCTGTGTTGGTCAGATCTTCCTCCTGGGTGGGGGCTTGCTTCTGGGCAGTTATGTTGATGTCATATTGAAACTTAAGGAGCTGGCTGTAGTCCTCTCCGAGTCGGATGTCCAGAGACCGGGATCGAGCCTCACGGACGGGTGCAGGACTCTAGAGTGTGAGAAAGGAGGTAAGACAGTCTGTCTGGTCTAATTTTTTTTAAATTTTTTTCTCAGTAAGGTCTGTGCATGTGAGCTCACCAGTGTGTTGTCATCTATATCATATAGTACTCCAGGACCTGGTCGGCAGATCAGCAGATGAACTTCAGATGGAGCGCCACGTAGCAAGAACAAAACCCTCTGAAACAACAACAAAAAGAGTGCGTGTTTGTGTGGCAAAGACTGGGCACAGACGGCTTTTAAAATCTAGTTAGTTGTTGTATGTTTAAATGCTCCTGTGTGAATGCCACTCTAACTCCTTGGCAGCACACAAAAGATTAAATGACACATCAAACGCTATGACACAACCAGCTTGCTATTTTCAGTACTATGAGATTAAAGGATTAGTGAACCAATGGCATGGCCAAGACCTTAAAAAACAGCAGGGCCAAAGTGCTGCTCAGACACTTCCCAGCCCATTCACAATTACTTATCTACATAGACGATCTATTACTATGCTGCCATTTGTGCTCAAAGTTTGAACACCTTTTAAACTGTAGTCAGCACCTTTTTTTTTTTTATAAATGTTTTAACCATGTTGTGCACCCACTTTTTTTTAATCTGTGTTTCAATTTAGGAAAAAAGATCAAACAAAACTACAACCACAACAAACCTACATATGAATGTGAGAAATCACTGGTTGTTAATTCATTCATTCAATCATTTTAAATATCCCAAATCCTACCTGGTAAGAGAGGTCCTTAACAGGCTCTTTGTTGACGGATAGAATGACATCTCCCTCTCGCAGCAGGCCACTTTCTAGCGCTGGCTGACCCGGGAAAAGACGTTTGATGCGGACCAAGCTCCCCCGGTCCGTCCCCGAGTGCAGCTGTGAGATGTAAAAGCTGAAGCCAAGGCCGGACAAACTCTTCCTCAGCACCACTTCATGGGTGTTTTCTAGGAACGGGAAGAGATGGAGGGGAATCTTGGGGCATTAACTTGTGTTGTGTAATCGTTAATCTGTAATGTGGGTTCAAATTTGGTACATTGTGATCAAGAAAATGTTTATCAATCCCTCCAACACAACCCGAGTATTCATTTTTGCTGTTATGTCTCAGACAGTGTTTTTCCCACATTTTGCCTCACATATGTTTGTACTATTTCCAGTATAGAGGTGAAGGCTTTGCAGAGACAAAGAACTATCCCTTTAACTCCGCTCAGGCAGTGAACAGGCAGCTTCAAGGTTTCAGCACATGCTGTCTCGAGGGAGCGTCAGCCCTGGATGACTCTGACAGCAACCACAATGTAGCTGTCAGATGACTCACAGTCACCTCTGGGCTGTGTGTGTGTGTGTGTGTGTGTGTGTGTGTGTGTGTGTGCCTGACGGTCTATCTTTTTTTTTCTTCCTTTTGTGAGTGTATTTACCCCTTCCTCTCCCCTCTCACCATCAGTAACAAAGCTGTAGTCCTTGGCTCGACCACTCAAGGTCGTTTCCATGGAGACCTCAGTCCTGGGGGGCTGTATGTGTGATGGACTGTGGACCAAGGGGGGGCAGGGTGAGTCCGGCCTGGGCTCCAAGATTACAGTGGGCTCCCTTTCCAACAGCAGGCTCACCACCTACGGGGAAAAGATGCACACACACACAAAACACACACACACACACACACACACACACACACACACACACACACATAAACCCTCTTTATACGTTCAATAGTATATAGTTCAAAATAGTGTATTCCACAAACAACTGTATACGAGGGTTGTCTGACCTTTCACCCCTTTGAGTAAAACTACTTGTAATAGGACCTGACTGTGGCAAAAATGTGAGAATACTCCCTGTTTCGATGCAGAGCATAAACATATGTTGTTTAAAGCTGTTTCCTGCAGATGACTGTCACATTGTACCGATTATAATGCGATCATATCAGCAAAACACATAGCCTGGTATAGCTATGTGCACGTTTGCATGTGTTTGTGGTCGTGTGTATGTGTGTGTGTGTGTGTGTGTGTATATATACCTCCCCGGTCTTCTTCAGGCACTCGACAGCTTGTTGGTGAGTCACGCCCCTCAGGTTGGACCCGTCAACCTCCAGCAGTCTGTCACCTGTCATATGCACAAACACAAATCTCATCATCATTAGCAACATCCACACACAAAACGGTTAGTCTGTGCGCGCGCGCGCGTGTGTGTGTGTGCGTGGTTGACGGGCACGTCAACAAATCTAACAGTCGTTCCTGCTCACTGAAGCGTGAACCGAGCAGACACAGACACAGCACAATGCTCCAGCAGCACACTCATAAACAACTAACTGACAAAATAAAAAAACACAACAACAAAAAAAAAAACAATTCCAGTGTGAGAATAAAACATCTTGGTTACTCCTTTACCGGTTAGAGATGTTTCATCTTAGAGGGCACGGGCACCATTCTTCAATCTACATTTGGTTATTTAATAATTTGTTCCATCTCCCCCAAGATAACAACAAAAGTGAAGTCTGTGAAGAATGTGGGATAATATTTCACTATATTTTCATCATATCCTTTGATGATGATGATGATGATGCAGAGGGCATTCATTCAAGATAAAACAACCCTGGTGACAGAAAAATTTCACTGGTGACAAATTGCAAATGAACGGCTTTTGCTCCTATTCCTCCTACTTCACCAGAAGTTGCATGAAATCAAACCTTTATAGAAACGTGTTGTGTTTCTGTGTTTCAGCCACCTGATCACATCCTGAAATCAGAAATAAAAAAAAGATTACCGATCTGAATGCGCCCGTCCTGATCTGCAGCGCCTCCTTGCACCAGACTCTTGATGTAGATGCCTCCATAACGCACATTAGTGTTTATTCCTCCCTTTTGGCAAGAAAGATTACAAAATAAAGTGATTAGTCACGGTCACAGGTCTCAAATAACCCTAACAACTCACACTGACTCAGTGTGTAGGGATCCAAGTTACTTTGCTTCGTAGCTTGTTACCTATTGGCCTGTCCCATTTAGTCCTGTAAATCGGTTTGGCTGAGATGATGTAACACAAGGCAGCAATGTTGCTACGTTCTTGGCACAATTTCCTTGGCTCTTAATACGCCAGCATGGCATGAGGCACAAGACTTTCTATCTAGACACAGTAGCTTTCAGCTTCCCTGTTCCTACTGATTTAGTCATAGGGGGGGAGTAGAGAAAAAAAATTCAAACTAACCTAAGCTCCTATAGAGAAGGATAATTGGAAAATATGAAGTCAATTCTGCGTAGTGAAAGGGAAATTATTCACTCACAGCAACACTGATGCCAAGACTACCACTGCTTTTCCTGAGCTCCATTATAAACCTCTCTCCACTTTTCAGACTTAAGACAGACGGGGACCTGGAGCACACATCCTGAAAGAGAGCAAGAAAGAGGTAAATGAATGAATAAATGAATGAATGAATGAATGAAAAAAGTAAAGATTTATTTAGAGAGGAATACTTGAGGGTATTCAGGACACTTCTGATACAGGTGAATGACAACAACTCAAGAGTTTCATCACATTAATCAGAGCACTTAATCCATTTAATAATTAGCACGGGTTGAACTCTTTTATCAACTTTAACCTCATGTTGACAATTTTGCTTCCACGGAAACAAAGTCACTTATCTCTAACCGCTGAGTGCTGGCTCTAACCTGGGCGTCATGTATTCTCACGACAGGAATGTGAAGCCTCTTGCTCTGCTTCGGGGTTGCCATGCTGGACAGAGTGATGGCCTCCTCCAGCTCCTCCACGGCAGGACGGTACTCTGCGCCACTCAGGGTAGTTTGTGACCCAAAACTCCTCTCCAGTGCCAAACCCAGAGTACTTTGACTCAAGGAACTCTTACTGTCCTTCAGGGACTCTGATAGGAGAACAGCCATGTGAGATGAAGGGCATCAGTGGACATAGCGGCTGTATTTAGTGTTACAACTACACAAAGTGACAGGTTTGACAGTGATGTATGAATATGTGCATGATTGTAAATGAGCAGAGCTTACGTTTAGGCTGGGACACGATGAGCTCCACCTCTTCAGGGCTGCTCTGTAGGATGGCAGCAGCATCGCTGAATATCACTCCTTCCAAACTAGTCTTGTTTAGGGAGATGAGACGTCCGCCTAAAAAAAAAAAAACAATCAAAAAAAATCCTCCCAAAATCCTTGTTACAGCTTGTCACGTGCAGCCAAGTCTTGTTTCCGTGTCTCACAATGCTACATTGACTGATAAGCTGTAAGCCAGCGTCTGTATTTCCAGTTCTCATTTGTTGGTGCTGCTCCTTACCGGGTTTGATTCGTCCATCTCTGTCCGCAGGTCCATCAGGCACAATGGAAGCAATGAAGATCCCAAGGTCAAGTTTACCTGTATTGTCCTCTCCCACTATCACAAAGCCTGAAACAGGACCAGAGAAGAAGACAAAGGTCTCCTGTTAAAGAATCAGATACGTGGCGCTGTGCTCATTAATTTTACATCAAGTTAACGGCTAAATCCGGCTTAACAAACTCACCAAAGCCCAGTTTGGGGTCTTTCTTCAGGTTCACGCAGACTATCTCTCTCTCTGGTGGGGTCCTGGTTGGTGTATCGACTGTAAAGCATGTTTTACATATGGTAAATGAGCTACTGTAAATATATTCATATATTTTCTATTGTGTTAAAGGTCACAAACACACTCAGACTTATGAGTAATTCAGAATGTCCAAATCACCTCATCTGCCTGTCTTTGAACAACTACACAGAGAAAGGCCTATGGACTATTCTAGTTGTGAGGTTAACAATGAGCCACTATGGCACCCTAATTTAAACATGAGCCCCAAATTAAAGAATAAGTCTTAATTAACATAACAAATGCAGATGCTTCCATACAGGGCACGAGGGTTTGATGAGCATGAAAATCACTTCTATGTCATTACAGCTGCTCAGGGCGCTCATGGTGACCCAACACCTTACTCAGACTCTTCGAATTGTTCCCCCCTCCCCCCTTTAATCTGTCACTCCTCGAATGTATATGTGTTTGCAGAAAGGAGCGAGGAGTTTGAATATAGTTGACACATTCACCTCGTACAGAGGAAGAGGCATCAGAGTCCTGCTTCTGTAGCGAGACACTGGACATCATTCTGGGAATCGGCTCCGGAGTGCTACAACACATGCACAGTCGCATTTAGCCAAGTCTCTACAATTCCTCTGTGATGAGAACATGAACGTTATCATCATCATCATCATCATCATCATCATCATCATCATCATCATCATCATCATCATCATCATCATCGAGGGCTACCTCCAACACTGTCGATCCTTCACATCTCCTGTTTCAGGGAGCTCCTTGTTCAGGTCTCTGCTCATCTCCCTCCTCATCTCTCTCTGCTGGCGGAGTCGGGCCTCCAGCTTGGCGGTCAGGTCGTCGCAGGACTTGGAGAGGGAGTCTGGTTGACCAGGTGTCAGACCTACATGGTTCAACATGCCCTCGGAGCAGGACATCCGCTTCAGGTTCATGTTACGACCCCGGTACATAGACATGTACTTATCGATGTTTTCATCTGGAGAAACAGAAGAGAATCAGGTCTTATTCAGTTTTTATTGTTCTCGGCTTTTCACCTTCGTGAGCTCTTTTCTTTTAATATGTATCATTGTCAAAGTCCAAGGCAACACCATCCACACAATCATCATCTACTATTTTCCCACCTGGTATCATGGTGTGGTTAAGTTGTCGTGACGTCATCTCGCTATGAAACTTGTGCTGTGCTGAGCAGAGGTTCAGGAGGTACTGTGCTATTTTTGAGCTTTCTGTTACAAAACTGTGCTTTTTCCCACTGGGCCCGCCACACTCTATTATCAGTTTACGCCGCTAAAAAAACAGACACAAGTCATTGTACGTTTACTTCCAGCTTCATAACAAAACAAAACATAATATCTTATATAGCTAAATCTATAATGCCACTCATTTTTACCCCAGTGGATATGGAGTCGGTTTCCCTCCAGAGGAAGCGCCTGGTGACAGTCCGAACGTGGTTCTTCATCTCGTACACGATGATTCCTTTGACGCAGACTCCCAACACCAGCTCTCCCACCACCGGCCTTTTCTCTCTCCCCACGCGGTGGAACATAACGCCATACTCAGGTAACTGCTGGGTAATCTGAGGGGCAGATATTCTTTTTAAATTGTGTGTGTGTGAGAGGGAATATGTATTCAGTTTTAAACTGTAGTCGTTTACTTTAACACCCCTGCTGTAAATTCTAGACTTACAGGAAGTGTGACAGCAGAGGCATCATCAAATTAATAGCAACGTGTTGTAACAAGTGAACACAGCCTTATTAATTTAACATATAGCAAGGTGAAAACGTAGCCAAAGGACAATGTGAGCTACTGGAGTCTTTGTCTTTATGTGTGGGTGGATGCATTAGCAGTCTGGCTACCTTCAGGTACTCTGTTTCTGCCTCTTCAGGCAGCATCTGGGCATGACTTGCATGTAGTCTTGGCAACTCTTCCTTGACACTGGGCAGGGCCAGCTTCTCTAGCATCCTCTTGGACACATAATGCTCTGGCTGGTAATAATTTTTACCGTACAACTAAAATGACACAAAAAAGAGCCAAATACACTGCCGTGACACACTCTGAAAGATGATGCTGGTATTTATGGGTTTAAGGTGAATGTTTTTTCTTTTTTTGTCCTTGGTACCTCTGGCATGTAGTCCCCAAACTCAGCCTGCAGAGCAAGAGCAGCTAGGAACAAGCCTGTCTCCTCGTTACAGTAAAGCCTGTCCTCCAAGATATCCTTACGGAACTGTAAGTAGTACTGGTGACGAGTCAGTCTGTGCCTAGGAAACAGGAACAAAAACTAAGTCAAATGAAACTTTTTTTTTTTTTAAACCATGCACTCATAGAAATTAATTTACAACATACAGTATAAGTAAAACACCACGCAGAGCTGTACTTACAAAATGAAGGAAATATCATCAACAAAAAATTTGACTCGCAGGAACACCAAAAAGGAGGATATCTGCCCTTTTTTCCAGCTGTCAGGTGCAACTTTGGAGATTTTTGTTTCATGGTCCAAAAAGAAATATTCATCATCTGCAGAGTGAAAAACAAACAACTCAGGCATAAAAAAAAAAAAAAATTTAATAACTGAAATATAATCATGCCAATTGTGACAATATCACAGTTATGGATATTATGAAATTAATTTTTAATTTGAATGTTGTTTATGTGCAATCAGTGCAGTCAAGAATGTCCTCTTACCATCTAAGAAGGCAAGACCAAAGTAGAAGTGTTCCACCAAGTTTGCATGAGCCACCACCATGTCAAACACATCTCTTGCTCTGGACTTAATGTCACAGCGGACCACCACGTACTGTCCGCTCGGCAGCACCACAGTCACTTCTCTCTGAGACGAACATGAGCGGCCCTTTCTGGACTGTGGGGTGCACACACACACATACACACAAACACACTGACATACATGCACATAAAAGAAAACCTACAAACACTCACAATACATGCACAAACATATACAAATACTGCACGTGCAATTTTGCAAACAGACATAGTTCGGCATGCAAGAAAAGACATGTTAGAATAGTAGGGGGGAAGAAAACAGCAGTTTGTATGAAAATTGATCAGAAGCAGATAGAAACAGAGGAGGTGAACAGAAATCATGACTTTACCACAATAGATCCTGGAAGCTCCAGGACAATATGCTGTTCGTCCGGCATTCTGATGAACTCAGGACCCAAAGCCTGACAAAATAAACATTTATAATATAAACTCTAAGCAGCAACACATCCAATAGGCTTTTATGATTCACCAAATGCTGTCTGCAGTACATACTCCACACTTCACTGTCATTCTCATTCAGCTAAACACTGTATGCCAGTATCCCCATCCACTACACTTTAAGTTCTACAGGAACATTTGTATCACTGAATAAACATTTTTAAAAAATTCCCTAATCTTACCTTAGCTTTCCTCTGGCTCAGGCTGAGCGATGACTCGCTGAAGGTGATGGAGGGACTGTGAGATCTGCCTGATGTTTTGGGAGAGATGTCGTGGTGGGGGCTCCTACCAAGCCAACTGCAGTTGCTGTCCCGGTGACGAACCCCACGAGGGAGTCTGAGGGGAGAGAGAGGGAAAGGGTGGGGTGGGGTTAGGGAAGGACAGATTGAGTAATAGTTGTGCAGACTAGTTGGAAAAGTCAAACTCTGAGACAATGTCATGTCCCCTCAAAGTCAGGACAGACGAAGAGGGAGGGGAAAATGAAAAATGGGTGGGTTTCTTTATGCCGACATACACACATACAGTATAGCTCTAATAGCTGAAGAATCCTCCTCTAACTACAGTATTGGGGGTGGTAGTGTGTATGGATGTGTGTATATAGGACATACCTGTCTAAAGACGAGTGGTACAGTGGTGTGGGAGAGCTCCTTGGTCTTTGTCTCCAAGGTCTCTGAGGTAAACTCCCTAGAAAACACATAATCATAATCATTTTGCATTTAATAAGGATTATATTCACGTATTCTTAAGCATTATACTTGTTTCTTTCTACCATTTTGTGACTTCTTTTCAGTTTTGCTTTCTTCTGTATCACAGTTGTACCTGACTTGGAGTCAGAGTCCGTTGAGTATCGTCTCCCTTCAGCACTCCCTTCGCTGAAGTCTGAAAATGGCCCTCTCTTTCCTGTCAACCAGGTAAGAGATGAAAGATGACAGCAATGTTGGATTCCTGTCCGTCTCTGTGCTCCCCCGAGACACTGAGATGTTTGGACAGAACTGAGGCTGGCAGAGGGTTTAGCCTGAAGCCTCAACACTCAGTATCTGATTATTGGCTCTCGCAGGAAAACTAATCCTGGGCTTGCTTTAGGTTAAGATTTTAATCCTGTTGACCTGTACACTATCTTGAGTCAAAAAAACAAGTATTGTCTGCAACTACTTTCTGCAAATAAGTAAACAACTATTTCTTAAAGGTCACATTTCTTTATGATGATAACATGAATAGAAGCAATAGAGCAAAAGGGGATTCCCCTGCGCAGTACACATGATTCAGGTTTATTTTCATTACAGAATCACAAAATGTTTCTGCAGAAATTGCACTGAAAGTATTGTCCCCATTTACATTTATTTGTACCGGACTCACCATGAAGTCTCTCTCTGATCATCTGGCTCCTGCCACTCAAAGGGACGTTACTGTCAGGCAGAGAGCCGTGGTCCATCTGGAGTAAAAGAAACAATACTATTTATATTCTTTTTTTCTTTTTTTTTGTCATTATGCTGATTATTATGCAGTACTCCTCCTTTGAGTTCTGACACATAAACAATGGAGTGAGAAGCGGAAAAGCTTGCAGAGCAGACAGGAACATACTGTAGGTATCCTATACTCACTGAATCATGAAAAACCTCCTCCACCAGCTGTCTGATGACTTTGGCGGGCGGTGGCAGGATGGAGGCTTTATGCTGAGATTCGCAGGCTTCCAGGATGGAGTTGAGATTTACCCTGCGGTGGGCCAGGTCCTCACACATGCTGAGGAGGAGGCTGTTTAGATGGTCACTCAACTGGACTGGCTGAGATGAACGAAAGTGGAAAATAACTATAATAACTCAGGCGTGAGACTGTGATGGCACTGAATAAAATACTGCAGCTTTCTATCAGAGCTTCCCACCTGATTTTGAGGTAGGTGAAAATCAACTGACCAGTAGAGAGTCATACCCAGTGAATACACCAGCATCTGCGCAACAAAATGAACCGATTAAGAACATGACATTTACCTGAAATCAGATATTACCAGCTAATTCTAAAATAAAACCAGCTTTACTTTTACATACATGTATTTGTGCTCTTTGACAAATTAATATTTTAAAACATAATTTTGCACCATATATAAAACCCTATCCTTGTTATCGTTATCGTTATCGTTATCGTTATCGTTATCGTTACATTCAAGAGAAATGACATCAACTATGCGTGTTGTCGTTTCTGGGTAAAGTGTGGTATTTACAATGTAAACTGTTGACACACAAAATATTGTGGTCAAACTGGAGAAGTTCAAATTCAATATCATTGAGAGGGCATTAATATAATAGACCTACTGATCAAACTATCAAGAAAAAGGACAAAGTGCATGTAGAATATGTCTGTTAAATCTACTTTTTTCACAGTTTGTTTACACAGTTGTCTTTCCTAAATTCCTCAACAATAATTTGAGCATGTTTTAATAAATGGCAATTATATCAATTACAGTTTGAACAGACTAGAAATGGCCTATCAGTCAAGTAAATAAAAAAGGCTTTAAAAGGGAATTTTCTCTATTTATGGTTGTATAAATGGGACAAATTGTGATTACAAATATGAGGCTTTTGTCAAGGCAGATTAGTTGGAGGTGTGTGCGAGATGAACATGTAAATATTTTAATTATTCTAATTACTTTAGAGTCTTTTCTACCCAATGCTGATAATTTGGGGCTCCAAAGTGCAGAAGTCAGGGCCGAAGTTCATTTGCTCGGCCACTAGATGGCGTGATTACATCTCAGTCGTCCTTCAACTCCTGACATCCTGAGATTTTACACTCCAAGGGAAAAGACACAGCAGGACATGACAGCAGTGACTTGTAATCAATTCAAGTCAGTGCAGAGTTTACGGTTACTGCTAAAATAACCCCTGATATGACACGATACTCTTTAGTGTTTGACAAGTCTGCCATCAGCTGTCATGTAAGGTCTTAGGACAGAAATGAGGATGTATGCACTGACCCTCTCTATGGCAGGCTTGGTTGAGCTGGCACGGCCCTGCAGCATTTCTGGAGCAGTGAAGGTGGATACATCATCTGATAGGCCACAGTTCTTAAATGCTAAGGTACCAGTGGCTGACAGCAGCAAGGAGGTGGGGCTTATGATATTACACATATTGTTGTGACCTGAAAAAAACAGAAGGAAGGCCATAATATACAATGATGGTGCTGATACAGTTGTACGGTGAAGTCACACTGATGGAAACACAGATACTACAAAAATGTATTCAAATGTTTATGTTATATTTACATTGCAGTAACATAATGCTATGCTGCTATGGTGTGAAGACACAATGTATGAGAGCCTACAATAAGAGGGGTTATCTCAAGTGCTTTACCCTTATAGGAGACATCCACTAAAGACTCTGCAGTGCCGAGCAGCAGGGACCAGACCTCCTCCTCCAGCAGAGGTCCCCCTCGTGCCTCCAGTACTTCAGCTAATGTAACAAAAGTGCTGCTCATTCTGCACTCATTCCTGCACACACATACACACAACACACACACACACACACACACACACACACACACCACACACACACACACACATCAAAACCCAAAACATCACTTATTAGAGTCTTTGCTCAAGGTCGTATTCTGAGGAGAGGTTTCCCTTTTTCTGGCTTTTGCTCTGTAAACAAACATCTACAGGTGTTGAATGAATGTCTGTACTGTATTTTACTCTCTGCTGGGTGTCAAGCTCGTTATCCTCGGACTTCCTCTCTCATCGCCTTCACTACAACAATTCTTGTTCCTCTTTACATCTCTCTGTGAAAGTATTAATGCTGTCGTAACAGCCTGTCAACACTATTTTGTCTTCGTAGACAGTTTTGAGAGGTAGTTCTGAGAAACTTTGCAGCTCTTTGCACTGGACCCTGATTAGATTATCTTAGCCCATTGGTCTCGCTGCCTCTCGATCTCTCTGCCCCTCGATCTCTCTGCCCCTCCCATTTTGTAATAGGCTTTTTTCTGACCCGAGGGTGGTTCTGAGGGAGCTGCCACTTCACCACAGCAACTGTGTCATGATCCCATGTTAGTTAGTTGACACCTACTGTGTGGGTATTAGCACAACTACACACAGTTAGGAATGCAGAGGGGGAAAAAAAGACAGACAGATGATGATATAAGAAAAGCAAAGACAAGCTTCCTCTCTTTGGGTATTATTAGTATTTTTGCTATGCATCAATATGCAATATGTATAATACACATTATTTTGACTATATTCCACATTTTCTTCTTTTTTTGCAAATGTGCAAGTCAAAATCTTTAAATTGACCCGGGTAATGAGTTCATCTTACATCATTAGATGAGGTAGATGCATACATTAAAACTGAATCAATCACTAGGTAAAATGTCTTTCTGGTTCGGATAATTGCTTTCTGGAAAGAACATTCCCTCAATGATCTAAAAAGACTATATGCTGTTGTAAATGTGGGCACATCATTATTTTATCTAGATGAACATCCAGTTAGACTTGAAAACAAACTGCCATCATTTTGGAAGATTACAGCATAAACTTGCATTAGTGGAAACTCTTCTTCTCAAACAACAACAAAAGACAGAAACTGGTTGTTCCTGGTGGATGGTAAAGGCTGTGACACTCCAACCATCATGCATTTCATTCTTATTTTTTTTGCTCCTCTAAATGGTTCAGAACAGAAATACAATAGGTTTGTCACAACCAACCACATACTGGACGAAGCAACATGCTCCCAGTGATACACACCAACCCAATTACTTTAGGCCTGATTAAACCCTTCACTTACACTGAATTTATCCTCGGCTCATGACACCCGGATTGACTGAACCCAAGGAAAGCTTTACAAGAAACTGTGAGGTTATGAGGTCTCCTGAAACTACGCAAGGCCATTTAAATCAGCGATCACATCATTAGATCGATGAGAAATGTGGGCTAAAATCATCCTGCTGCATCCCTGCACGTTGGTTTACTGTTACGATGTAGAAGGGACTGAAAAAGGAAAGTAGAAACCCTGCCAGGTGCTCCCACCCATCCACTCTTGAGGAAAACTTTAGCCGCTGTGCTCCCTCAGAGTGGTCCGTCTGCAGGCGGGGAGCTTGTGGAGTGATGATGTGAAGCACCTGGTTATTGGGTTGCTACTTACATTTACACCACACCGTCATGCATGGCTGGACGTCTGAGGGGGTGGGGTGGGGGGGCTTTTACCTCTACATTTTGGATATGTTGATTGGCTGGATCAAGTCTAACCTCTTCTGCTTTCACCATCAAACTTTCGTTTTCTATCACAGCTCCTCCCTAAATCACGACCTGTAAAACTCAGTGATTAAGATGGAACCACAGAGAACTATAAGACATTCATTCAAACATCTCTGGTGCAGTTGCAGGATTGTCTTTCGCTGTCTAGAACCAACTATTTTTAGTATCTGATAATCTGACGCCATGCCCATAGTACACACCAGTTGCCACCGTTTTTTTTTTTTTTCTCCTTGCCTCACTAGGTGTAAAAGCATCTTTATTCATTACGTTCGGACTAAAATGCAAAACATACCATGACTTCAAGCTCCATTCAAGCATATATCCTGTTATAGACAAACCACCTTACTGAGCCATTAAGCAGACAATCACATGATGACACAGACAGAGAAGAAGCTGTGCTGTTATTCTTGGGAATTTGGGACAACATGCTTCTTGAGGATCTAGGTCTCTGTTTTACGACCTTCTTTTCTCACTACAAGGTGACAATCATGTATCATCATAGTATGGACATTAAACTACTATGGTCAGAATCCAATTTATGTAGCCACAGCACAAGCAGCCTCTAACAAACAACACATTTCAAGAAGATGATTTTTTTTTTTTGTCCTCACAGGCCTGAATGTGAAGGCTACACTCTGCATTTTTATGATTCTTAAAGGTAAATCTCATCATAATCCTGTTGGTGTTTATCTTGTGTTAAGGAACCTAAAGTGAATTAGTTTTCATCTGAAATCCCACAGGACAAAATGGATCTGAATGTGAAGACACACAGCTCAACATAGCAAAGTGTCAAACAGGACTACTGGAGGAAGAAGATACAGAAGAGGAACATTACCTGGTAGCATATGTAACCTATGTGAGCGGTCTGATCCTTCGTGTTATGTTCAGCGCTCCCACCTCGGATCCAAATTAATCCTTGTGATCATGGCATTGCTGTTTTGACGTCCTCTCACCAAAGGCTGCTCCGCTCTGGCAGGTAATTCATCAGTGACATGAACTATACATGATGCCCCATTCATTTGCTCTATTACCACCGGCACCACGCTGAAGATCTGAAACTTTTGACTGTAATTTGGGCTATTCTTAGCCTCTCGCCTTTAAACACTTAATTGGATTAGCCTCGCGGTTTGACAGCGACAGCTCAGAGCCACCAATAGCGGGTGGCGTGAGATCAGCTACACCGATTTAACTAATCCGTCTGACGCCCAAAGGTGCGGTGGGTCCTCAGCGGTGTAGGTGCGCTACAGAGAAGCCTGGGAAGGACGAACGACCTCGGCCAAACGAGTGGACTGTAGCCTGCTGCAGTAGGGCTGCTCCCCCACGATGATCATAACACTGCGGGCTCTCTTCGAACAAGGGGTAAGGAGCCGTAGTAGCCTGCTCTTGCTGCGGGACTCGGTGCTGGGACGTTCATCCATGCCGCTTCCCAGGTCTATTGCGCGCAGCTTGTCTCTGCAGGCCCCGGGGTATCTGCGCAGGCAGGGACAAGGATAAATAGGCTAACAACCATCCAGGGCTGTCAGGTGGGTGCAGGGAGAATTTAAACTACTCAGCGCGAAGTTAACGTAATTTTACCTAATGTCCTTATTCAGTCACATGCCCTCGCAGAGCATGGCTCCGTGCATATACCTTCGCTGTTGTAGCGTATAGGAACTGATGGTACTATAGATGGTACCCTAACTACTATGCTATGGATTTCTGCAGAGCTTATGCCCGTCGTAGTCCACAAATGAGTCCACAGTTTAATATGGGCTGGAGATATAAAGATCTATGAGCTCACAGAAGATGCCAAATATTACCCTGGTGACACTGATCATGCAGTTATAGTCTCATCATTCATTTATAACGATGTATTATCACTGCAGCATCACTGTTTACCCTGGAAACAGACACACAAAATGTAATGTTACCCAGTCTGAAAACTAACTAACTAACTGACTAACTAACTGACTAACTAACTGACTAACTAACTAACTAACTAACTAACTAACTAACTAACTAACTAACTCACTTTAAATAACATACAACTGTAATGTTATTGATTATTGACTGTGACGAGTCAAACGTATTTTTCCTTTTAATACTGTATTCTGCATACTGTAAATCACAAACACTATACTGACATACAGTTCAAGAATTTATGTGAAAAACCAAATGATCATAGACCATCATCACTAATGTAAGAAACACATTGAGAAAACACTCTAGTTGTCTGTTAATCTGTGTATAAAAAGATTTTTGTGTTCACATTAAAAAGACAGAAGAAATCTAAAAGACATTTATATTTTCTTTTAAACTGATCAGCATAATTGAAATATACAGACCTGACAAAGAAAGAAAGGAAGAAAGAAAGAAAGAAAGAAAGAAAGAAGAATGAAAGATGAATGTTAGATATGGGGTTCCATTTGTGTCAAAAACATGTCCACGTGTGCACCGTCCATGTCAACTGAACATGTGACAAAACATGTGTCTTCAACTTCAGACTGTACTTGTGTCATCTTGTTGCACTCCCTGTCGTTTGATTGTGTTGTTGTAGCCTACATGAAAAACACAGCACAACACGACAACACAGTGAGACGACACATTGGGATGCCATGTAACGCAGTCAATCAACACAGTCGATCAAAACAGTCAATCAACACACGGAGTACAAGACAGTCTGGCGCTGAACTGACACAGACATATGTTTTGTCATGTGAGCAATCACAGACAATCAGACTGACACAGTTTTGTCACAACTGAAGTTCAGGTCAAAGTGGAATAGACATAGACAAATGTTTAGTCACATGTTCAGTTGACATAGATCATGTGGACATATTTTTTTTTTGACACAAATGGAACCCCATAAATTTGTACATACTGTATACTTGGCTATTCTGCTTGAAGCTGTGCATATGACTCACTATATTCACTATATGTCCTTTGTGTGGACATTCGGCTGTCCTTCTATTTCCATTGTGAGGGGTTTTTTTTTTTTTTTGCAGCAAGGACAGCTTGTGGGGTTTATCAGTTCCCAATTGCATTTTGTTTCAGTTACAGAAAAGATGTGAAAGACTTTTTGACCTGTGCGCTCAGTGATCCATAAACCACAAAGCCATGGCACGCCCTGTCAGCCCATATCTTTTTCATCACAAAATAAATATATTTTAAGGAAACATAAAGCAGGAGAAGTATGCAGCCTCATCTTTCTTCCTCCATTACACCACTTACTTGAAATGTTCATTGCAGT